TGTTCTCACTTTGCTTAAGCAGCATGTAAAATAAATTGAGGAGCAGCATACATATATATGGCAACCTGTCTGAAACTGCAGTGAGTGTTGAATATGGGAGTTTCCTGTGGCTTCCACTCATCCCTCCTGGCCATGCCTGCAGAGATTTTTATGTCTTCTGGGACAAGGACCAAGAGTCTCCTACTGAGATCAGGGCTTGATTCACAAGATCTCTGCTGATCTCTCTAGGTGCCTGGCATTATTTGAACTCAGGTTTTCCTTTTTCCAATTCTTGTGGGTATTAAATATATCTCCAGCGATTATAATGGTGTTTTATGAGGAATGCAGTGACAATTCAGCTGATACACTGGACACGTGAAGTGTCATGGTTGCTGCAGTCTGCATTTCATGAGGAATGCATGCTAAAAATATCTCCTTTTGAGAAGAACAAATAGGACGTATGTTAAATGTGACTGATAACAGACAAGACTCTAATCAGTGTGTATATTTATACATGGAAAAACTGGGAGAAAATGAAGTACGTAATAAAACAGAACTAAGATTACTGGCAGAGCAAGAATTACAGCTACAGCTTCTCTCCCCAAGCAAGTGAAAACATGTCTATCATGTATTCCTGGGGGCTGGTGGCAATCCAACTGAATGATAAATGTGGTTTGTCTGTTTTTTCTTAAAGTCAGCATCTCAGGACTTTGTTGTAGCATACAGTCAGCAGGATCACAGCAGTCTGGGTTGTTGTTGTTGGATTTAAAATATCACATTCATCACTGCACTCATTTTTCATGGCGCTGTTATATACTTAGTGGTTAGTAAGGCATTTACCTCTGTTTTGAATCTATAAGGAATTCCAAGCACTCTATTACTGGAAATGTATGTAAAGTCCTTGGCAAAAATGGGTAAAACCTAAGGTCTGCAGATGCCCATTTTAGGGAAGCACATTTTAAATGCAGTAAATGCCCAGGATTTGCAGCAGATCGCATTGTATCAATTGGTGCTGGGCAAGGTGTGATAACGGGGCTTTTGAAGAGATTCTTGAGAAGTGTGCTGCAGTTTGGAATGGTGGAAATGAATGAAAAACAGGTAAAAACATGTATGCAGAGTGGTAGTGAGGATGTAATAACACTAGAAGATTTTTCTTAGCTCTTTTGGAGGTAGTGATACAGGCTTTTAGCCTGAGGCAAGCCCAAGAGAGGTGTCTTGAGAAGAAGAATGGCAGGCAGCAGGTAGAGGCAAGATGGGGCAGAGGGAATAAACATTTCACCTGTGCAGCTGGGACCAACCACAGAACAAAGTCAGGCTGGCTGAGGTAACCAAAGAAAAACAAGGCTAATGCTTAGACAGGGTCCTCCTGCAACAGTACATCCATTTACTGTATCTGTAACATGCATTTTTCTGTCAGTGATGGCGTGATACAGCTCTGGCTGGCTCAGGGCTGGAGCATGGCCCCTGCTCCTAGCAGTTTAACTGTGTGCTCAAGGCTGGCTGGCTGAGAAAAGATGCCTTGGCCCGCCTGAGGCTTTTAAAGAGAGGAAATCTCAGTGGGGGCTCCCCCACTTTTCTTCAGGAGATGCTTTTAGGCTGAGGCTCTTTCATCTGGCCCCCACCTGAGCTGCAACCCCAGGGGTGTCACAGCCCTGCCTGGGCCTGCCCTTGGGGATCACTGACCCAGCTTCTGGCTCTTGCTGTGTCCTGATGGCCTGGACCAGTGCTTCTCCCCTCACAGCATCTGAGGTACGGGCACAACTGAGCCAGAACCATAAAGCAAAGTAGAACCTCCTCCAGAACCAAGGAGCAGTCCAAACAAAAACAGCAGTCCTGAACCAATGAGAAAGCTAGAGTTAGACCATGGTCCTGAACCAGCAAGCAGCCCTGAACCAACAAGAAAGCTACACTCTGGAACCAACCAGCGACCTGGATCCCAATCTAGAAGGTGATCTAGAACCTGTTCTAGAACCAAGCAATATTTAGAGCCGTTTCCAAGAGAGTGTTTTGCTGGAATAAGCAGCTCAGCACAAAACTCTAATAAAGCAAAACTTGGGAGACACCAGATTTTCCTACAGCACTGACCCATAAATAAAACACTGTAATCCAGTAGGATAATAGTTTTCTTAGGATGTAGGTTGCTGCCATCTGCTCTTTATAGAAGGGAGTTTTTGTATCTTGTTGCTGGGGAAGGGAACTTCTCCAAAACCAGCAGCTGGCAATGGAACTCTTCACTTCCCTGTCTGCAGACCGCCCCTGAATTTCCCAGCCTTTTGGAGACTCTATGACTTGCAAGTCCTCTGGATGTTGTGCACACCACTTCAGTGGTCTGTCTCTTTCAGAAGGGGCAATGCATTCCTAGTGACTTGATCAGAGATGTAGGTTACAATAGAAAATACGGCACAAAACATCATTTTGGATTGAGTTTAAGATGATTCTTCTTTTCCTGTTTCATTGTTCATCACCTTGGGTTCCTTAAACATATCCAACTTGGAGGCACTGGGGAAGCAGGCTTGAAAGACACTCTCTTTCTTTTCGGTGACCTACTTAATACTGGATGAAAGATTTTACCACATTTCTGCTGGCAGAGTGTTCTGTCGTGACCAATGCAAACGCAGTAATTGTGGCTTGCCTGGAGGATCATTATGCCTGAAATTCAAAACATTTCCTGGTTGTACGCTCCTCTTCTTGTTATAACGTTTTCCATGTGGCGTAACTTCAACCAGTTGTCCCCTGCCCAGTCACCCTGTGTGGCTCTCCTAGATCTCAAGCGTATGACACCCCGTATATCGTATATCCAGCCTTCATACTTGTTACCAGGTCTGTGACTTTTGGCATGGGAGCAGCTTTCTGATACTTGACATTATCAGTCATTTGTTTGCCTGCCCTGAAGGATCTTGAACACTGCCCACTGGCAGAGCATGAGTTTCTGTGCTCTGACTGCTGCTCAAATCAAGTCATTTGGACTCAAAACACACACTGTGCTCTGGCTCGGTCCCTCATGGGGACATGGGACACCAGGGTGCAGCCATGCTACAGAGCAGACCTGCCATGGGCAACCAAGCCAACAGCAAATAAAAAATCAATTAATTAATCAGTCTTTTATCATTGTCCTCTATAAGCTGCAGAACTAAAATTACTTTTCTGACTTTTATCTTTAAACATTTGAATACAACCGGAAAAATACAAGGTCAGGTTGGACGGGGCTCTGAGCAACCTGATCCAGTTGAAGATGTCCCTGCTCACTGCAGGGGGATTGGAGTAGATGACTTCTAAAGGTCCCTTCCAACCAAAACCATTCTATTATTCTTTGAATTTAAAATCTTTGCAAGAAGTAAGAGCTGCTAACCTCTGTCCAAATACTGAGTGTGGAAGCCACATCCTTTCATAGCAATAGTCTCTATCATGAAAAGTAATTTGTCAGCAAATGTGCAATTTTATGAAGAAAATACAACAATGTATTTTCACCTTTGACCCAGAACTATGAAGTGAAAATAATTACTCTCTAGGAAGTTCAATTGATTTGAAATGTTCCTACAGAAGACTTAGTTCCTATATAGTAGTCTCTCTATAGATTGCAGAATACTTTAGAAAATAGAAAGATAAAATGTATTAAAAACTCCTTAGCTAGCTACCTATAAAGGTATTTTATGTTAAAGAATCTTTTTGCTATGTTCCATAAGTAAAGAAAAACCTGAATACACATGCTAAAATTAGGACAATATCTTTACTCACTCGGAGCATGTGGCGATCACTGTAGGTCTGTGTCCTCTTCCGGCATTCCATGAAACATTTGCTGATTTGTTAAATTCACTGCCATTTAGGAAATAAACTTACGATTGTTACTTTTAATGAAATTCGTGGGCTTAAGCTAGGACAGAATTATGTCTCTCCTAATGCTTCCCTAATTCAGGCTTTCCCATCTTACACTAGCGCTGTGCTGGGGGGTTTAGTAGCTCATAGGGTAAGCCAAGGAGCAAAGGTCACTCTGCACGGCACGGCGCTCTTGGCAGTGCTGGAAATAGAGGTGAGCGCTCTGTATGCTGATGGTGCTCCTGTAGCCCTGGCACAGTGATGCTGGTTTAGCCTTGTCTCTGCACCCAAGCCCGACGAATGAATGCTCTTGCCTTTAATCTTTCAATGCACTTGGCTACTGCCTCTCTTTCCAGGCTTCATTTTGGTCTTCCACACATCTTCTCTTCTTTTAGCGCTTGCCTGCCATCCTCTGCTGAAGCCATCCATGCCCAAGCTCTGCACTGTACCTCAGAGAAATCTTGTATGTAAGGAATCACTGACACTAGTAATCATTGTGTATTATGTATTTGCATCCACATAGCCACATATTTGTTATTTGAGACCATCCACCAAAAATAACTAAAATAAATCCACCAATTACTTAAAGCTTATGCCTACTCTAGCATTTCCTGGTTTTAGACAGATGCAGCCCAACCTGGTTTCAAGGGCGTTACTTTTAGTTTACATTAGTCAGTGCAGGATCAAATGTATGGCATTCAGAGAGGCCACAGTGCTGTAAACATATATTTTCCTCCATTTCTCCAAGATGTCTGAGTTAGCACATACAGACTACGCCTGGTATCTGAGCTATATGGCGCAAACCAGGCAGGGCAACGCTCTGTGCTGTGGAGGCTGAGGTAGAGGCAGAATTTAGCCAGGAATAGTTAGCTTTATCCATATAGGTATGTATCCATCTGTCCACCTGTGCTTTAGCCATATGTGCATTTTATCATATCTGCTTGTCACTATATAATCATATTAACACCATTTTCCATAAACGGTAGACTGGCACTGAGATATATTCATGAGTCTTTTTCTGTACACCTGTAAAAGTGCTTTTAAACAGCTCAGAAACATTTTTTTAAAGCCAAAAGAACATTTCCCAACCATTCACATGTGCAAGAAGTGCTTTTATTTTTGCCTTAAATGAAAGCCATCAAGGCCTGTAAAATGTTGAGTGTGAAATAGTGCTCAACATTACAGCAGGCAGGAAAACCAGTTGGCGATCATGGCTCAAAGGTCCCACAGCCAATAATCTTGCAGGCTACCGTAGGCCTTTCGTTACATGTAGGTACAGCTTCCAGCCTCTGGAGCACCTCTGTGCCCTCGATCAGTTGCCTACAGAAGGGAGAAAGTGCACATATGATCCATCCATTTTAGGAGAAGTGAAAATACTCTGGCTTTATGCAGCTACATTTATTTAAATAAATAAGCATTGTACCACATGCCCCAGCTACAAATGGCCATTACTTTTGAGGAGAAAAGTCAAGAGACACACTCTCAAAAGTGACTCCCTAAGAAATACCTTTCATTTCCTTCCCTCACAGCGCCAATCTGAATCCTGAAATCAATCCAGTTGCAGCCTGTCTTGCTCCCACACTGCAGGAGCATGAGCTGTGCCTCCTGCAGGCACCAGCATGGTGATGAATGCCAGCAGTGCTCCAAAAGCTTCGTACTGTATCCCACCCCATCCCCCACAGTGGTACCAGGTGTGGAGGACATTGCAGGCAGGCCTTGCCCAAGCAGGTACATCTGAAGGACTGAGCAGAGCAGGGCTGGGAGGTGCCTAGCTGTCCTCATCATACGCTGTGGCTGGTTTCTGCTCCCTCAGGATTAAACTCTCACTCAGGTTTCATAGGGCTTGGCTGTAAGATCATGGATCCCGCACCTTTCAGATTACACAGAGCTGGTGGCAAGGCAAAAACTTCAGGTGAAGGCCGCTGGTTATAAATATATCCAGCCAGCAATCGCTTTTAGTTGGTTCTTTGTAGGTTAGACAGTTATGCTTTCTGGTTCCTTTAAAAATGCTGTCTTTCTCCATTATGTGGTTACATGGAAACTGCATTGTGAATTTCTCACTCTGTGGTAATACATATGTATTTTGTTTTCTTAAACAAGCTGCTCCAGGCAATAATCTTCTTTATTACATCCTTGAAAATCTAAAAGTCTCAACAGGGCCAGCTCTATACCTCAACCTACTGAGAAGAAACTCGCGGCATGCATTCACTAAGATTATTCCTTTCAGTTCATACGAGCAGAGCAGAGCCTGGAGGCTTTGCTCAGCATCCCCCTGTCCATCAGGGTCCACCTTTGGCTGACATCAAGCTGTGCAGGCACCCATTTGTAGCTTTCATCCTGGAGCAGCCCTGGCAGTTTTGCCATAGGGTTTTCCAGCTTAATCAAGCCAGGCCTGGGCAGAGAAAGTGTCATTAGGTACTTCAAATCTGGCTTATCCATCCACTCACTGGCCAGAGGCATCTGCATTGCAGCTGCTGCAGGGGTTTCATGGACACTTTCTCCCAGGCAGCAAAGTCTAGTGGGGCCAGGATGACCTCCCGCACAGTGCAGCGGTGGCAAGCTTGTGTGTACCTACCCAAAAGCTACGTATTTTTTGTCCAGGTAAGGAGCTGGCTGGAGGGTGATGTAGAACTGAGAGCCGTTGCTGTGGCGGCCCTTGTTGGCCATCCCGAGGACCCCTCTTCCCTTGTGACGGATGGCGAAGCTTTAAAGAGTTGGAGGATGAAAGGCAGTTGTGATGCCCCCTTTACTAGTACTCACTGTGCAGCTCCCCTTTGCTAGCTCCCACAAGCTCCCCTTTCCTCCTCCCCCACTCTCCCTTTCCCTTCTCCTTTTCTCCCCAAATGTCTTGAATTGAATCAATGTCTTTCCTAGAAAGAGCTTGCCAGTACTGTAGTGCTTAAGTCAGTAAGGAAGCTAATGAAAAAAATATCCATAAAAAAGCACTCTATGTATTTCTCAGTATTAAAGCCACAGCAACGATGCCTCTGTCTCTGCGTTGTCAGTCTGTAATGCTTCTCACTGGAGAAGCTCAGGGCACTTAGCATGGCATTTCCCCATGGCTACTTGGGATTATTCCCACTGTGTGGATGGGGAAGGTGGGAGGCAGAACAGCTGCTCCAAGCACAGCCTCTGCTCTGCCTCCTCTTGTGCTGCTGGCCGTGAAGAGGACAAGATCTCTGTGGGCACAGACAGGGCTGTGAGGGCAGGGCATGCCTGGCTGCGGTGGGAGGTCCAATGGCTCCCGGTGCTCAGTAACTTGTGCAGGAGGGCAGGACACTTATTTATCCAAATAAAATGACAAAGCTGAATAAAGAGAGAGCAGATTTTTAGTTCAGGAGGCCAGGATGCTCCCAGAGCAGAAGCTTTGTTCCAGGGCAAGGAGAGGAGGCAAGCGATGGGAAATGCAAGGCAAGCGCAAGTGAGAGCCATGAGGAGGTGAAGGGAATCCACTGTCCCAGCTGAGGGAGAGGAGGAATGGCTCTGAAGAGGGATGACTGGGGAAGGAGACAAAAGACATTGGGTTTGGGGGATGATGGCAAGGACTTGATTCCTTCTTCTCCATGGAGGGGAGCCTAGCTACGAGGTGGCGAGCAGGGGGTGCACTGATCCTGGCCCCCTCCATCGCTCATCTCCTCCATGATCACACTGAGCCATCAAAAGCCCCATGGAGCTCTCAACAAGCTTGAAGGGAACTGTAGAAATGTTTAGATTTTATTGTTATCTTATTTTTAAAAAAATGTTTTTTACCCTGTTCAGGCCCTTCTCAGAAACTGATTAATAAAAATGGTAATTAAATTTTAACTGAACAGTTACTCCCTGATCGCTGCCTTGGCGGTTTGCAAAATTACTTCAGCAGACTGATTTTGGAGTAGGATGCTTTGTCCCATGACACGGTGCTTCAGTACGAGTGATTCTCTATAATTACCTCAGTACCTTCAGCTCATTACAGTAAAATGCAGTTGCGTCCCATTAATTTCAGCAGGCATTGCAGTGTCCAGACACATGCCAAGTGCAGCATCTCCCAGAACATTACCAGCTGACAGAGGCATCTCTCACCCTCTTCAGATATCAAAGATATTTGTCCTCTACCCTTAGTGTAAAACAGTTTGGCAGAAAGTACTAGGAAAGCAATCTAAGGCTTAAAATAGAAAGGCATGTCCAAGTGAACACCTTTCTAAAGGATGAAAAGCACCTTTTAATTAGAAAGGGGGAGGGGAAGAATTATCAATCCTAGCCTTTCATACATCAACACATGGAGAATGTGTGATATGGGTAATAAAACTCTTCCAGGGACACTTTCAAGGTTGACAGATTCTGAACTAAATCCACCTTAAAATTACTTCAGTGGTTTTTGATGCATTGTCACCTTCCCACATGACACAGCAGCTTCTTTCCTGGGTAGCACAGGGACCGCACAAGCTTTGCCTGGAGGAGGAGGATGGAACCGTGAGCAAGACACCATACACTGGGCTGGGGCTTTGTGCATGGGGCCACAGATCTCCTGTGTGCAGAGGTGCCTACGCATGCTTAAACTCCTTTTCCTTCGTAGATTATTTCTACCCAAACAGAAAGTGCAAAGGGTGCGAGATGTGCGCTGGCACAAATCTGTTGGGTAGCATTGCTGGAAAAGAGGATTCATGAACGATTTTGCTCCATCCATCCCAGGGCCCTGAGGTGAAAGTGGCTTTTCCTCGCAAGCAGGCTCCCCAGCGTCTGGGAAAGAAAGTTTTCAGCTACACTTGGCATTTCTGATCTCAGTGCTGGCTGCTGCCCAGCCTGCTCAAATGTCACCTCATTTGCGCCATTGGCTCTGGGAAAGCTTTTATATAAGGGAACGTAAATCAGTTTCAAAAGTGCTTTAACTGCCATAAAATGTCCTTATGAGTAGAATTTAATCTAAACAGAAGATCTCAAACATATATGTCAATTATATGAGTTGTTTTTCTTAAATATTGCATGTTATAATGTTCTCATTTCTTTACATTTGATTACTTTATACCAGCATGGGGGAACATTTTTTTTGTTAAACTTAGCTCGCATTTGTCATTTCGTGACTTTCATGGTTTTATATGAGATTGAGAAGTAACTCCTCTTACATCCGCAGAGTCACGTAGCCGCTGGCAGCGATGCCTGCAGTATGCCCAAGCCTGAAAAGCTGATTGAGGTCCAGGAAATCTAAAGTTAAAGCCAACTTACTTCCATTGCTTTAAATGCATTTAAACAAGTTGTATCGGGTATGTGGAGATCTGTAGTTAATCCATGTTGACTTTTCTAAGGTCCTCTCCCGCAGGTGAGCATTCGCAGTTTGAAGTACATGGGGTGGGTGACCATCAGCCCTCATTTAGACAGGGAGAAGGTGCTGGTGGAGCTGAGCCTTGGGCAGGGGACATCAGACGAGGGGGCCAAGGTTACAGATGAAGAAGTGACCTTGCTAAAGCAGTCTGCTTGTGCTAATGCAACCAGATAATGATTCTGACTGAAAAGCAAACCCTCCTGCTTTAGGGAGATGAAAGGAAATTCTCACATTATTCTGTGAATAAGATCAGTTAAGCAACTTGATTTTGTCATTTGTCATTTGTGCAGTAAGATAGCTGAGGAACCATACCTTCAAAGGTGGGGCCATAAATTGACTCTCCTCTGTCTCCTTTTCCAGTTATGATGTCTGCAGGGTAGATAGGAGTAACCATCAGAGACCAGGTTATCACAGGCATTACTGTGGGTTGCCAGTGAGCAGCTCAGCGATGTCTGAGACCTGGGTTGCCCATCAGCCTGGGGGAACAACTGCATCCATCGTTCTGTTTTACTACTGAAATTTTATCAGACCTTTGGGACGAGCTCTGCTTCCATCCCAGGAAACAGTCTCTTTTATGGAGAAGTACTTCATATGGTGCATTTAATTGCTGCCCCTCTGAGAAGGTCCAGCATTGCCTGCTGGGAGAGCTCCTGTGGGAGCAGTGGCCAGTGGAGGAAGGGGCACCCTGGAGAAGGATGTCTGTGAGAGGGAGCAGGGTTAGAAAAAGGAAGGATGAAAATGCAGCTCTGATATTATGGTGAGTTAATACCACTAACTTGTCTAAGAAAAGAGATTTGTTAAGAGAGAAATTCCTATTGAACCAGATTTCTGATTAATAAGGCACTAAAGAAACCTGATATGTCTATTTTTTAAATTTTTGTTTTAAAAAAGTCTGATTTTGTTACTTTATTTAGACATTATCTTATACCAGTCAGGTTATGATTAGTCCTCTACAGTCTCAAGCTTGTAATTTTAGGTTGCTTTTATGCACTACATAGATATCTGCATAGTAATTCATGAAAAGTAGGAAGAGTATCTTCAAAATATAAACTTAAAATGGATCTAAGCACTCACACTTGGAGCAGGCAAGGCAAACACAGGTAAGAAATACAGGTAGGTAAGATGTAGGATAGACCAAAAGGGAGTAACAAAGGAAATGCCTTCTGATACATCAATCTATCTTGACTTCCCTGGGGACGTTGGGCAAGTGACACGACCCCATCATTCGTGGTGCCTTTCTCTTCGGTGCCACGCTCCAGGCGTAGCGCTGGCGTTCAAACAACTCACCGGCACCTTTGGAAGGGCTCTGACACTTGGCTAAATGCCTCCGCAAGTTCATCTCTCCCAAAACCAAGTAATATGTTTTCCTATGGCTATTCTTAGTGTTTTCAAGTTGCCACTTAGTTTCCTAATTACTTACCAAAGAACTTAATGGAAAAGAGTTTTAATATTTTCAGTTAATTTTCTTAATTCTTTGGAAGAGGTCTTGCATAATCAAAAGAACAAATTATGCAAACTTTTCCTATATTTAGAAAGTAAGACGGCTAAAAGAGAAAATGTTTTCTGTTTTTTATATACATATATATATAAATTAAGATATTATCTTTGTCCTGGAGTTCAGTTATGCCTCCATGGATGAAGACTGTTACTCATGCAGATCATCCCACCCCACCTTGTGCTGTAACCCAGATTTCCTCAGGACCCCTGGAAACGCACCTCCTCCTTGGATCCACCCGTTTTTCACGAGGCGATGAAAAAGGGAGTTTTTGTAGGTGAGCTCTCGGCCGTCGCAGAGAGACTTTGCTCCTCCAGTGCACAGGGTGCGGAAATTCTCACAGGTCCTGGGACACGCCTCTGAAAAGAGCTGCAAAACGAATGTGAGAGAGAAGAACACCTGTGACATTCCTAGCTGATGTCCACGGGCCCGATTTCTGTTCCCGCTCCTTCAGAAGGTGAAACCATCACACTGAGTGTGCTTGTTCCTCACTTTTGCTTTTCTCCTCTGTAACGTACCTCAAAGAGCAGCCTGCCGACAGGCTGGTCCTCAATGGCTATCTCCAGGTACACAAACAAATGCTGTTTAAAGCAGAAAAAACAAATATAGTGAGGGAAAGGCCAGCTCTCGGTGCTGCACTCGCATCCTAATGCAGGCCAGGGTCCAGCTGTCCGCTGCGAATGGTCTCAGAAAATGTCTGCAGGATGGTCAATGCACAACAGCATTCCTACTATTTTAATTAAATAACAAAAAAGGAGAGGATGTTTCACTTCATTCTGGGCAGAAATAACCCCAGCAGTGTGTTAAAAGCAAATGACTGGGCAGGGCTCACTACTTCATCTTACATTTATTTATGTGCCTATTGCAGCCCATACACTAAAGGCAGGAATAAATGAATCTGCAAGAATGCTGGCCACCTTGCCAAAATGGGCATTTCTCACTCTTCCCAGCTAGACTCAAATCTGCAAGCGATCGATGCTGTATCCTCAGTGGTATTGATTTTTGTATGACATTTTATTTTTCTCTGCTCTCAATACCCTGTCAGCACCTCACAGTATCATAGCATTTCAGGGAGTCTTGGCTGGGAAAGGAGGAGTTTGGTGCTTGGGCTTTTGGTACCCAAGAATAAGGGTACCTGAGAATTTTGGTACCCAAGGGTTGGGCAGTGTGGGATTTTGGAGCAGGCATGGTCGCAGCATGGTCGACAATGTGCTTTTGTCAGCCTGTTCAGCCCTGAAGCAGTTAATACATGTTGCACTTCTGGGCTAGTGTTTGCCCCTTCCTGGCTGCTGAGAGGCACCAAGGCTCTGCCATCCTTGTCCTTTGCAGGAGATGATCCCTGTCGGCCACTCCAGCCCCAGCTCTGGCCATGCCATCACAGGACAGAAACCAAGGAACTGCTTTTACTGTGCTTGTTCTCCTTCCTCCTCCTGGTGTCTGCCCTTTCATCAGACAACCTCTCCAGCCACCTGCAGACCTCGTACTCTTCTCATGAAGCAGTGCTACCTACCTGGCTGTTTTTCAGGTATTTGCTGTAGAAATCCTCAGGAATCGCTTGGTAAAGTGCCTTAGGCTTGAAGTCGCAGTAGTCCCACTCATGGTAAGACCACTTGAGCAGTTTCTTTTCGTCCCCCAGCAGCTGGCCATCAATGAAGCACATCACCGAGGAGGCGTACGCCCATACTTCGCCTCTCAGTTCCTGCATTTCAGAGGGACAATAAAGCCTCCTGGGATTAATTACACACTTAATGAAGAAGTAATTGGTAATAATCCACTACAGGTAAGGTGTGTGTGGTATTTTTATGCCTTTCCCATTTTTAAAATCAAAAATCATGCCAACTGGAAGGGATTGGGCAGCAGCTTTTGGTGAGGTGTGCTAATACTGCACACAGTTATGTGCCCTAAAGGTCTGGATCCCACTGCTATGGGTCATTATTGTGACAAGAGTCAGCTGGGGGTCGCTTTGAGGGCAGCTCAGACTGAACAGACCGCTTGAGGGTTTCTGAGGATATTAAATAAACAGGGGTGGGAAAGCTCACTTCCAAAATCTGTAGATGGCACTGAGCTGGGAGAGGCTGCAGCCCTCAGGAGGGGAACTCATATCCCAAACAACCCGAAGAAATGAGAGTTACCTTCTTTTTCTCCTGTAAATATTCATGCCATGCAAATTCTACTAAAGGCTGTATTACAGGATCTGCAAACTTGGTTGGAAACTTAAGCTTCAGAGCCTAGATTTTCAAGATAAGGAAAAAAATTTGCTTACAAGGAGCTTAATACCCCCCATCTGATCATAGCTTTTATTTCCCTCATGAACCACAACCTAAGCCACTTGTCATAAGCTGCCAAGCAAGATGGGCAGAGCTGTGATGTGCACGACATCTTGTGCAGCACTGCACAGCTGTAAACTTTTTTGGAGGTGTAGGAACAAGGAGGTGAGGGTACTGCAAGGGAGACAACCTGCTCCAAGCAGCGAGCCTGTAAAGCCTCAGTGCCCATGCCTGCACCGGGCTGTGCAAAGAAGAGCAGAAACCCCAGACTTGGAGTAGTTTCTTCCTAAGAGCCACTGCTGGGTGCAGGCATTCCTCTGCTTATTTACTTCCAGCCCACACCACTCCCTGCTGCCCCCAACTTGGCACCGGGATTGAAGCTGAAAGTTACCTCTGCTGTGCACTTGGCCACGTGGAAAGCCGGGTCCCGGAGCAGCCCCACCACCGTCACCACCACCGGCTCCTGCCCCAGGCCCATGGTGCCCCAGCCACCATGAGTCCGAGTCTGTCAACAGAGCCTGGCTCCATGGCAACGCTGAACACCAACACACACACACACCCCCACACTGAGGCCAGCTCTTTCCAGAGCCCCTGACGGATGCTGTCAGTATGGGATCATTACCTTATTGCTGGCTGTGGCTCATAGCAGATGCCCAGCAGTAAGTGGTAAGAATAAGCAAACATGACAGCTGTGCTTCCCCATTAGTCTCCCAGCCTCCAGTAAGCCTCTGCTTAAGAATTTCCCAGTCTCTGTGTTTAATTCCCCTTGGTGGCTCTTTCTCATGTGAATTTCTTTGCTTTTCAGACAAATGTAAAAATCCGTCACCCACAAAATCCCATGGCAATGAGATTTACAGCTTAATTACACCCTGTGTAAAGTGTGCATCGCCTTTTGATGCAGAAACTCCTACCCACAGCTGTATTTGCTGGGTGCTGACGGGATGTAATTCCCGTCAGCAGCCTGGACAGAGCAGCATGGGGCACAGATGCAGCCATTCCAGAGGCATTACAGCTCCCACAGCAAAACTTTGTGTCCCTGTGGCTAATGCAGAACATGCACAAAGCAGTTTTGTGGGACAGCTGTAGGTTCAGCATGGGCTTCGGTCAGCGCGGCTGGGCCAGGTCACTTTTCATCACTCAACAAGGTGAATTTTAGGAGACACTGCTGTTAGAAGCAGCAAGACTGAACTGTACATCATGATGTCAAAAATTTGTGTAATTTTTTGTGAGATCACAGAGCAACAGAACAATCATCACACCTCCAGGAAAAATAAATCATTAGGATAGAATCATAGAAAGTATTGGGTTGGAAGGGACCTTTAAAGATCATCCAGCCCAACCTCCTGCAGTAAGCAGGGACATTAGCACGTCAAAATCCTATTGCAGATGAGACTGTTGTGATTTTCATGTGGAAAATATGTTCTGTAGAACTAACCTATGTTAAATACAATAAAAATAATTTATCTTCTTATTAAAAACATGCACTTTATTTTTTTTGCAATTGTATATCCAAATGGCTTTATAAAGCACAACATTTGTACATAACCACGGAGTTGGAACCCAGAAACCTATAGGCTCTCAGTTAGATGCTTCTGAACTATCCATGACTGTAAAAAAATCAGATTGAGAATGAAATCATAGGCTGTAGAAGGGCTCCCCCATGTAGCCCTGAAGTTTCTCTGGTCTGTGTGTGGCTCAGTGATATTTTCTGACAGCAATTCATTAGGGCAGCACTTGCGTAACTATTTTTGTTGGGATTTGCAGCAATATTGGATTTGCAGAGCTCCATCCTCACGTCATCAAAGACCATGAAGACAATCAGATTCTGAAGGTTTAGCTACCACAGCTGCTCCCTTGCCTGAAAGACCCATGCACAAGATGCTGTAATTTCATTTTATGATA